CTTTGCAAGCATCCCAGGCCATGGAGGGAGTGGATGCTCTCCCTGCATCGCAGGACATGCAGAGGCAGAATTAGAGACTCATACTGCACTTTTGCCTTTGTAAGAAGCCCAGCAGTCACAGCAGACTGTACCCTTATTACCTTGCAGATTGTTCAAGGAAGTACAGTTCCACTTTTTCACAATTACAAAATATTGTGCACTGCACTGCCACTGCAGCTCTTAGACATTTTATTACACCAAACCCATTCCCACATTGTCTTTTTTCTGCAATACTTCATTTGCTTGCAGGAACTAGTGAAGTGGAGGTTGTGGATCAGACTGTACCATTGTCTGTCTTTTACTTCTGCTTTGCAGTTGATTTAAAAATACCAAAAAAACCCCAATCATAGACATATTTTAGGCACAAGTGATTGATAAGAACTTCCCAGATGCTCAAGTGAATAGATTTCTCCCAGGCTTCAGGGTCTGCAGACTGGGCTTGTTCTGAAACCCAGATGTAAGATAAATGGCATATGCAATAACTGGTGTACAGGTGTGCAGACAGCTGCTCTCAGCAATCAGAATTAAGCAAGGGGTCTAGGTGCAACATGCATAAATAATCCTTGGCCACAGAAATTATTTCCTGTGAGGCAAAACCAGGTAGGCAGTGTTTTATCATGGTAAACAGTACTGTAACACATGATAGATGGTGGCAGAAAGTACAAAAGAATACTGAACTACAGAATTTAGGGAATAAAAATTGCTGTGTCCTGGGTGGATTTGGACAGAGTATCCAGTTACCTGCTTTTTCCCTGAAGGACACATCATATAGTCTGTGGTGATGAGGGTGGGGAGCATCATCACCAGCAAGGAAGTAGAAGGGCTCATGAAGGCCTGGCTCAACAGATAGAGCACTCCTGACTAAATCATTAGTATGTTGTTAGGATTCAATGGCTTTCTCAAGATCCCTCATGGGGAATAAAAAAATAATAATAAAAAAAACCACTGGGCCTGATCCTGTTTAGTTTTTTACATCAAAGCTGCAGCCACTAGAAAATAACCGTAATTTCGTTTTGTAATTCAGTTCTGTATTGAAGCTGCAATAGAAACACAGTTTCTGAAGCAGTTCATAGGCCAAGAAGATTATGTAATAAGTAAATTCAGACAAAAAAAACCAAACTAAACCGAAACAAAAAAACCACCTCAGGTAACCAGGGATAAGCAAGTTTGCTGCGCAGTGTAGAGACTGAAATTCATAGAAGAAAATGTGTGCATAAGGTTATTGGCTGGAAGAGTTTGGAGTCTGAGAGTTAACAGTGCTGGTTCTTGCACTGCTTAGTCCCATGAAGGGGCTGGGATGAGATCTCAGCAAAGCATTCCTCATGGGCTTCATTAAGGTTTGTGTAGATTTAGAATCATACTCAGCATTTTCCTCTGGAATTTCTGAGAAACTGTTGGAAGCAGCTGTGGATAATGGAGACGTGTCATCCAGTACCACACTAGGCTCCACTGCAGCTGAAGTGAGAGATGTCTTTGGTGCTGAGCCCACACTGCTTTGTAGGACAGTCTCCAGAGGGTGCCTGGTACAGCAGAGCCCCAGGCATCAGATGGCACCAGACAAGCTCTCTCTTTTCTAGCAGCTGCCTAAAGAGAGACTTTCTCAGTGACACAGCTGTCAGGACAAACCAGGGGAAGGTTCTGGGAAGGGAAAACAAATGGAACCATTTACTGGCAACAACTGTCCAAAGCAGCATGCTAATAACGTAACAAGCAGTGTTTTTTTTTTCAGTGTCTGACTACAAGACTCCTTCTTGGGTCTTTCAGAAACCATCAGAGACTTGAACATAAAATGTTGAAGAATGGCTCTGGAATAGTCCTGCAAAAGCAGGAATCCTTTCCCTCAAGCAGCCTTCCCCTGTCTTAACGTCCTCAGTAGCCCAGTTCATTAACTGTCATAAGATCATTACACCCAAGAACTGTCTTCTCTAGATATTCCCATAGGAATTTTTTTTTTTTTTTTGCATTCAATGCCCTAGTCTTGATCAGTTGCTTCAAACAACCCTGATAAATAGGATCTAGGGACAAAATAACTCAGTCCAGGTCTTCTGTTGCTAATACATCATCTAAGGCAATTCCTGGGGCAGAGATGTGGTCCTAAGGACAACATGAGTTCAGCACCTTCCAACCCAACAAGGCAGCCCGTGCTTTCTGTGAGATGAGGCAAGCTGCAAAGCAGAGACAAGAAGTACCTCAGCATTCAACTGTCTTTCTCCTCTTGAGTAATTGAAGAGGCAAAATCTTTGCTGAAAAAACTCTTGCACACAAAGCTAGGCAAGAAGGTTTTTGCTCTGTACAGATGAGGCAGCATTCAAGAAAGCTGAGGTCATTTGTTCATTTCAATGCCTTCTGGTGAGGCAGATTCTGCCACATGATGCTGTTCAGGCCTGCATAAAAAATGGCCACCATCTATTCATGGAGTTTTATTTTCCTTGCAGGATGAACAAAAATCAAGTATCAATTACCTGTGTGCACAGAGATGTGAAGAGATATTCTCATCTCACACTGCTGGGAGGAATCACACTGACAACCAGACCTGTTTGGTTTGAAGCCTCTGATCTAGAACCATTTTAGGTGAGGAATTTTAAAATTAATAGTAACAAGTCTAATATAGCTTGTATTTTCTGTAGCTCATGCTAATTGAGTAACCAGCAGTCCTTGACAGGCTACAGATAAATCATATAACCATTCTGCCATGAGGGCAAGGTGAGCACCAGGGGTGCTTCAAGCGCACTCAGCAAAGCATTCATTACAGTGTGGTTCCTGTGTTTCAGATCCCCTTTTGTAAAAACAATGGGTTCGAGTTCCATCCAGTGGTAAAACCCAGCAATTGCAGGATTGGGTCCTGCAGTAAATCCTGTAGTGAAACTGCATGGTGAAAGGTGCACTGTGAAGTTTTTTTAGGCCACATGTAAGTTAGTAAGTTAGCAGCTTTTATGGTGGAGTTTGCTCAGATGCTTTGAGTTCTTTTCACTCTAAGGGAGTTGTATGAGTTCACTGCAGTATGTGAATATTTTGTGTGTTAAGAATGAGTATTGAGTCTGCCAGCATAAAAAAAAACTGACATAGGGCTACCCATGACATAAAGCTTGTTTGCTCAAAAATTGGTTTCGATACATGTATAAATACATCAAAAATCTTATACAGGATGTGCAGTTGGAATGATTTTCACTGCACATCCTGGCCAGAATAAAGTAATGTATCTCACTGCCACCTCAAAGATAGGGTCAGAGTTTAATTTCTTCCTGAGTTTGGTGACAGTTCCAGGCCCAGGCTCTGAAATGATATGGTCCATTTTTCTTGAGGAGAGGGATGGAGGTGTCAAGGCTTACACAGTGACAGGACAAATGGCAGTATGTGTGACCGGAGGCAGCAGAGGAACACAATGTCCTCCCAGGCCACCAGCTCAGCATTGTTATAAATGTAAAGCTCTGCTTCTGCAGGGCTATTGCACTAAGCAAGGTGAAAGGGATCAAAAGCTCAGAGAGAAAGCAGAGCTATGAACCAGCACACCTCTAGGCACCAGAACACATTTACCTGTGCTCTGCCACATGCAGGTGAAACACAAACCACTGCTACCAGACTGGTAGCCGTCTGCCTGCCCAAAGTGGCACAGAGGGACTTTGGTGGCTGCCTGTCACTGGTCTTATATAGCAAAGGGCATTAGCAGAGTGACCCAAAGGAATAAATATGCAAAGAACTCAGCTGCTTGGCCCAGTCCTTGCAGGCTGATTTAAAGTGTTTAGCTGAAACAGCTGAGCCTTGGGAATCTGGCTAGTTTTCAAGACCTATAAAAAGCTGTTTAATAAACCCTGTTGCATCTCTTCCCTGAGATGATTAGAAAGAGGATTTTATTCCAACATCTCCCTGGAGGACCATTCTCCCTATTTGTCTTATCTAAGAGTTTATGGGGTTATATGACTTTATATGCAGCCTGTAGATGACATGTTTACTCAATTACTATGAACTACACAAAATACAAGCTGTATTAGACTTGTTACTATCAACTTTAGCATCCCTCAGCTAAAATGGCCCTAGATCAAGGGCAGTCTTATCAATTTGTCCAAGTATGTGATGACAGGGAGTAAAGAAAGGGACCCAGACTATCTTCAGTGGTGCTCAGTGATGACAAGGAGCACTGGACACAAACTGAAATGTGCTGGTCCATCTGAAGACACAAACTCACCTTTTACTGTGAGTATTGCCAAATTCAGAACAGGTTTTCCAGAGAAGCTGAGTTGATACTGAACAGCCACAGTCCTGGTCTGCCTGTTCCAGGTGATCCTGCTAGAGCATGAGTAGAGTAAATGATCAAGAGGTCCCTTCCAACCCAAATGCTTCCATTAGAAAAAAACCAAACACCAACAGAAAAAAAAAAGGACAGTTCATCTTGCATCAGGGAGGCTGGAATCCAAATCTACTGTCTTTGTGTGACCCTCTGTGGCAGAAAACTCTCCTACAAACTCTAAAATTAACTCATCTGTGCTGATAGCACTGAAGGTGTTAAATAAGGTAGTGCTGCAAGCAATGTCACTCCATAGTGACATGCACTGTGCTTTTCAGAATATGAAAAAACATCCTGCAACTCCTTTTGTGGGAGGTGATAAATTGCTCAGGATTAACACACAAGAGTGACAATGTGCTTAGTGGGGAAAGGAAAGAAACAGGCCAAGGAGAAAGAGACAACTTTATTTACAGAATTGAAGTGAGGTCTGAAAAGATGAAGCCAGCAGCTGCCTGAGGAGTTGTGTTTCTGAGAAAGTGCATTTCAATCCTTCCTGGCATAACACTTTCTGAGAAAAGAGCTGCTGGGGCCAGCAGGTTTGTGTCAACTGAGAGAGCTTCCTACTTGTTCTCCATCCAACCCATATGGACTCTGACCACCTCTACACTGGGTACTTCCCTGATAAAGGGATCTTCCAAATGCTGCGGAGTGCTAGCAGAAGGATACTGGCTGTCCTGGCTCTCTGCATGAGTTCACACACTTCTTTTCCTAGAGTGAGCCAGAATTAAAAAAAGAAAAAAAATGCAAGTGGTCCTTTGCCTCCCAGCACTTTCACACAGGGAGAACATGGTCCAGGTAGGTTTTACTTCAGACACAGCCATGATTAGTGATGCCCAAGCCAGCTTGACTGTTACAGGGACTGGTCAGCACTCTCTGTTGGAGAGACTCACAAATGTGACTGACATGCTCCTCTGGCAAGAACAAGCCCAGGCACCACCCAGAGCAAACATTCATCTTGCTGTGCCCAGCAACTTCCCTCCATACACACAAGTGATGCTTGGCTTACAGCCAGGTCAAATACAATCAGATTCCAAAAAGAATCAACCCTGCTGGATCTATACCATGGTTTTGCCAGCCACAGTTTAGTAGCTGTCTTCAACCAACTGGAATGCCACGGTCCCATTGGGCACAGGCACCCACTGTCACCGACGAACGCCGATCATGCAATGAGTAGTAACAGAGCTGCTCTCTTGGCTCTGCACTGGGTTCTGCAGTTCCCTCTTTCAGTGACAAGGTGATGGCCAAACAGGCTGTTCCACAGGTGTTCAGTTCTTCCACCGGATTTGCTAGAAGAGGGAACAAGACACAACTAACAGCAATGCTGAACACCGAGCCCTAGGGGCCAACTTAGTGACTCCCAATTCCTGACAAGGACAGCTACAGCCAGAGCGTGCCATTTCTATCAGTATAACCATTCATTCCTACCCTGAATGCAAACAAAAGATTAGCTTCCTAGCAGGGATAGAAAGTACATAGGACAGCCATGCCCCTACACCTAATCTTAACCTGTTTCTGGTGAGAGTGTCTGGAATAAAGAGTAAGCATTTCTTACTGTGTTGCTGAGAATGCTGTTTATCTTCTCTTCCTCTGCAGAGCCCCGCTCCACCTTGCCTTTATATGCTGTCAGCTGCATACGATCCTTTAGATCCCGGTAGGTCTAGATAAAGGGCAAAACCAGCACCCAGCTGAGAGAAAGGGACACTTCAGTGGTTACATGGTGTCCTGCAGATGGGCAGGGCAACTCTACAATCCCCCATGCAGTTCTCAACACAGAAGAATTTCACAGCACAAATGCTAGGAGCCACTCTCCTGGCTCATGGACTTCTATCGGGAACCTTAGCATTTTTCCCAGGCCACAGGGATAAACAAACACCACCAGGCACATGACAGAGAACAGAAAAGCTAGAGAGACAAAGCAGGCCTGTGTCCCAACTCTTCACACAGCAGCAACCTACCTCTATGACAACATCATGGCACTTGTATTTGGTAGCGAGGTTCAGCCGGGTCTCCACATCTTCCACCAGGCGCACGTACTCCTGCAGCACCTGTGAGAGACAGAAGAGTGTCTCAGCTCCCTTCTGCAGGTATGTCCTGCCTCATTCCCTCACCCCAGTCCCAAAACCTTTCAAAGTTGCTGGTCACACAGAGTTGGCCCCTTCTTTAGGGAACAAGTGACCTCAAGAGCTTTGGCTGCAAAAAATTTTCTCCCTACAGTGGCAAGCAGCATCTCTGTATTCTTCTCATGTCATTTGACCTTGCTTCTACACCTTCCTTTTTTGTCTTATTTCCAAGAGAATATTCCTGTTCAGTCAAGCTGGCCTTCTGCCTTGCCTGCCTGACTTCCAACATTTGGGAATTGCCTGCTACTGTACCCTTAGAAGGTCCTATTTAAAAACTGACTGATGGACCCCACTGCCTGCAAGAACATTTTCCCAGGGGACCTTACCATTTCCCTGAGTAGCCTGAAGTCTGTTCTCCTCATGTCCAGACCTGAGGTTTTGCTGGCACTTTTCCTCCTATCAACAGAATGTTAGGCTACCTCATTGCTATGGATCAGGTTAACCATTGCCAGCCAAATTAAGAAAGAGAAAATTTAATGTAGCAAAGAAAGGTGGCAATGCACATGGGAAGAGTTCCCAGCCAACTTTGGCCAGCTGCCCCTCTTGTAGTCAGAGCTAGGACCCAGCCCTCAATACCACCCACACCTTCTGTTGAGGCACGGGTCACTCAGCTGTGTGCTGCACTGACCTGGCAAAGCCAAAAGATCAGCAAGCTTCTCCCACTTCCAGCTAGGAAGCAGCTCACCTGAGGAGTCATTCATACACCAAATCCCAACAAAGAGCAGGTCATTAGCAGGGGTTCCTGCCTCACCTGCACTGGAGCATTGTTCCTCTGCAAGATCTCCACCACCCGGTGGAAGCCAATAGGTGCCTTCTTCTTGGTGTAACCCAGCCAGTTCTGAAATGAGAACCAAACCTATGTTAACCCAAAAGGATAATCCTTCCAGCCACAAGAAAATTAGTTTTTTTTCTCCCAGTGCCAGCACCATACTCCACAGCCATCATATGCACCCCACTGCAGAGCCCTTCAGGCAGTGGCTGGGCACAGGCTGGCTGCAATCCCTTTGGTAGCAGAGCTCAGGGGCAGCCCCCTTCTCTGACCTTATTGCTGCAGCCAAGCCAGGCCCAGCAGAGGTCTCAGACAGGGAGAGGAGGAAAGTATTGCAACACTCTGCAGCAGAGGTGCTGGGCCCTGCTGAAATAAAACCAGTCTGTCCAGTAACTCCAGAACAAGCCAGCTATCAGCAGCAGATGCCAGAACTTGGGACTGTGTTCCCAGCAAGGCTTTCTGCAGCTCACCTTGGTGGTGAGGAGGGCATCCACATCACCCCAGGCCCGCAGCTTGGCACGGGCTGCCAGGGCAGTCAGCACATACTGCTTATCAGGAATCTGCAAGGCAGAAAGCTGCAGTCAGAACAGAGCACAGCTCAGAAGGTCTTTGTGGGCTGGACATGAATGCCATCTGCCCCAGCTCTGCCAGGACCTACACCAACACCCAGGCAAAGAGGCAAGGTGCTGCCTGATGCCATACACAGCACTGCAGAGACTAGGGAGTGGGGATTTGCAAGTGCTGCTGCAGAGAGGGTACATCCATTGAAATTCTCCACATGGCTCCCAATTGCCTGAGACTCCAGAAGGGCCCTGCTCAAAAAGGATGCCATGGCCTCCTCCCTAGCTCAGTGCTGAGCCACTCAGATTCCTCCTACTGAGCTCCTTCATTACATACAGTTTGTCTGTGCATGTTTTCAGCTAGTGCTGCCACAACACGGGAGACTCACGCACCTTAAATGTCTTCTTCAGGTTGGTGGGGCTGCTGAACATTCCCTAGAGAAAGCAGACAAGTCAGTGCAAACTCAGAAGGGCAGGCCACAGCAGGGGTTCAGACACCTGTTATAAGGCATCTCCCTCACACAATCTTCTCAAGATTTTACTTCTTTTTGTTCATGTCAGTGCCACAGGAGGAAGCAGCTGGCAGAAGAGAGCAACTATCCCATCCCATCCCATTAGCTGTCTGGTCTGGTTTTCCTGCATCCTCAACTGGTGCATCACCAGTACCACGCAGCTCAGCCTCATGGGATTTACAGTGGTTTCTAGGAGACAACTCCCTGACAAACTGTGCCAGGTTGAATGTCTTGGAGCACAAAGCCCCAAACTGGTGCCAGGAGACAAAGTCTCTCTGAGGGATGAAATATGACCTCTCTTTTCCTTTTTCTCCTTAATATACCACAGCTTGACCACCTCACATCTCGAGGGTTACAAGGATAAGATGCAACCTTATCTTCTGCCACATCCTCACCTCAGCTTCTGTGTAGTGGTAGAAACAGGAATAGAAGAGGGTGGTCACTAGTGGCATGTTGAGAATTGAAGCCTTGCGAGGATATTTCCGAAACAGTTCTGACTGCCCAGCCATCTCCAAGTGCCGATCATTAGCCTGCAGAATCAGCAAGACAGACAGGGAACATGAGCCAAGATAACTGCCTGTTCAGCTATGGGATAGAAACCTAGAGACCATTGTGACAGCAGTGTGCAAGCACAGCCCCAACATGCTATCAAGTCTCAGATCTGGTATTTCACATGTGCCTGGCACAGCAGCCTGAACAGCATTACAAATACACTAGCCAGGGCAGGCTGGTTAAATCCGAAGTGGTGTAAGTCAGGGACAGCAAGAGATCTCACAGGTAGTCCCAGCCACCTCCTGACCAGCAGAGATTTCATACCTCAATGATGATCTGTCGCTCCAACAGGGTATAATGGTCTTGGATGTGGGAGGTATCCTCAGCTGAAAATGGCAGCCTGGCCAGACATGAAGGAAAGAGGCACTGTGACAAGCTCTGAAGTACAGAATCCTTCATTTACTTCTAACTACTCTTAGAAGAATTTTGTTCTACCAAACAAGCTCCCATTCTTCCCATCTTGAATGGCTACTCAAGTTCCTGACCCACTGCCCTCTCCAATTGGCTCTTTCCTAGACAGGCTCTAGAGAAACATTATGTGGTTCCTTTCACAGAATAACCTAAAGTGGATGCTACCAACTTCCTCAAGTGCTCAGGCACCCAGACTTTCATCCATCACAATCTGAAGGGTCAATGATCAGAGAGTCCCTTGAAGCATCTTTCTTCCTGAATTACCAGCAAAAGCTGCTGGACTAGCGATGACCACAAATGATTCCTCTCTGGTCTACACTGTACCCACAACTCTACTCTCACTCCCCACTAAGGGAAAACCAACATCAGCTCTCAACCCACATAAGCCATGGCACTGGCACAGAGGCTTAATTTTCTTCACTACCACCTTCTGTGAAGACTCCACATCCCTCCCCTGCTTTTGCATTTTTTCTTACCCAATGCAACCTTTCAGAAATTCCCTCCTTTTTTCTACATCCTGGATGTTCAAATGCTCCCGGTACTGAGATAGCTGGAGGGAGAGGGGAAAGAAGCAGTGTGTTCTCATGGATTTGGGAGATACAGTATTTCCAGAGGGTGAAATGGGGACAAAAAGCTGATTCCCACACACTCTGCACCCAGCCTCCCACCGTGCAGTAAGGGAGCTTATGCTCCTGGGAATACTCACAGCAACTTCCTCAGTCCTGTCTAAGAACCTGCAGAAGGGAATTAGGAAACATTAACCTGGAGGCAGGTTCCTAGCAGTGTGTTCAGCCTGCCACAGGATGGATCAACAGCCTCACCTGAGCAGATCCAGAAGGAACTTCTGCTCCCCTGTCTCTCTGAGGAAATGGATTAGATGGCACAAGGCCACCTGCCGCACCTCCAGCTCCCGAAACAGGATCTCTGCAGGGGAGAGTTTATGTACAGATGGGTAAGGTAAGATAGCACTACCAAGCAGAGGGGACTTAGCACAGAGCATGGAGCCATTGGCAGGATTCATCAACTTTATCCCATCTCAAATCACAGTGTTGGAGGCTGGAGCACAGAAGAGCCCAATCACTGGGCTGACAGCTGAATTCACAGCCAAGTGCTACCTCTAGAGATTAGTTTTCATTCATCCCATCACCACCACCCACCACTGCTTATAGCTCCTCTCTGGAGCCTTTGTAGGCATCACCATCCCCACTGCCTCCTACATTACACTTGCTACAAAAATATTTCATGCTTAGTAAAAAAGCAATATCCCAGATGCTCTCTTTGTAACTTGTACCCTGTGAAGAAATCACCCCCTCCATCCTTCACTGAAACACACTACAGAAATCCCAGCCCCAGTCATGCTCACCTCTCCTCAGCGTCCGTTTCAGGAATATCAGGACCTGTGAGCACAGCCAGACAGGTCAGAATTAAGACAGACAAACAAACAGCACACTGGTCAAGGCCTAGAGAAGTTTTTGCAAAGGGCCTCTGAAAACTCAGCTCTTATAGAACTGAACTTAATTCTGGTCCCACAACACCCAGGACAAGCAGTGAGCCTGGGCCACAGCTGCCTAGATTCTTGCCTAAGCTCCTGCTCTGGAGTTTAGATAAGTCAGACCAAAATTTACAAAGGAAAACCTTTCCATGCAAAATACAAAGGAATTAAAGAACCCAGATGAAGTAAGCTCTAACACAATCCCATTTCCTCTCTGATATTTTAAAAGCCAGAAAAACTGGTGAAAAACATTTGGGAGCCTCAGATCCCAAATGCCAAGTCCCAAATTTTCTGTGCTGAAATGAGCAGATTAAACCTTCACCTTCAAGAAGTAGGTGCAAAAATCTGTAAGGCTGATGGATCAGAGTCCTTAACACCTGCAGAGTGGCAGGAAAGACAGCAGGAATACAGAATTTCCCAGTCTTTAGCTTTGACACTTCTAGTAACTGTTTGAACTAAAGAACACCTCCCAGCCCTGCAAGAGCAGGTGGCCAGCTGACTGCATTCTCACAAGCACTCTCTGTGGGGCCACCCACAAGTCCCAGCCCTGTGCAGCCCCAGCAGGACTCACAGCTGTAATGACATTCCCATCATGCCCTGCCACAGCTTCATCCAGGAGCACCAGCTTGTCCTGCAGGGAGCGAAATCTCTCTAGAGAGCAGACCTAGGGACAGAACAGGAAGAAGAAGGCATGTGGGACATGAGACAATCCTCAGGCTGAATCCAAGCTATTATTCATTCCTCTCCCATAAGCCCTTCAGCAACATGAATAACTGCCCTCCCAATGAGTGGAGAAATTCTCATTTAGCTGAAACCACGTGCACACATAATCCCTGGAAATCTGTCCACAGGGGTTGCAGTCAACCCTCATTACTGCCCAGTCTAGGACAGCAGACAATGTACATTCAGCACAAACACCCTTGTAACAAGACAAAACTTTCCCGTACACCACAAACCACTAGCCCTGACAAGAGGAGGGAACTCTACAAGCCCCTTTCCACAAAGGGCACCAGATAAGTAGGGTCATAACTCTTTCTCCCTTCTTCTTACCCCACATCTGTGGCCTCTCTCAGCCTTTAGCTCACCTCAGCCTTTGAGGAGATATATGCAGAGTGAAACCACAATCTCCCTATGAGTTCACTGCACACTGAGGCAGCTGAGACTAAGATTACAGCTCCAGTGAAACCATTTCTGTCTTCCTCCCTCCATTTGCCACCAAGTGCGAACGGAGATAAAGCCCCACCCTCTCAGATTTTTAAAATAAATCCAGCCCCAGGGAGCAGAAGGGGTAGAAAGGGACACAGCAGTACAGATACCTACTGTCAGAGCCTTGCTGAGGGGACAACTCAAGTTAACAAAGCAACAAAACCCTGAAGTTCTCCTGCTGCTCCTGAGCTAGTGTGATCCCAGCACTGCCACCTGGCAAAGTAACAGACAGGCACAGCACCATCCCTGCTAGGTGCTGCAAGCAACACAGATCCCCTCCTTGCTCCCAGAATAGCCAGGAGCACAGCAAAGTGCAAAGCATTTTGGGACCACCCACCCTCCATCTCTTACCAGCAGGTGGGAGTGCAAAGTTCTTACCTTGCCCCTCTGCATTCTCCTGACTGTATCTTTGGGGCTCCAGTCACCACTGTAATCCTGCCACAAGAGAAATAAAGCACTCTTAAGCCTCAGATCATTTCAGCAATCTCCAAGCTGCTTTCCACTTCTGCTGTATCAGTGCTGGCCTATATATAGCTACTCACACTGATCATCCAGCTGCTCCAGGAGAGGTGTTAGTAGGATGTATATGTACATTTTTCAGGTACAAATGTTGAGCCCTCAGACTCTGCATGTGCTGGTGTGGAGGGAAGCTAAAGGCCCATATGTTAACACAGCATTTCTAGTGCCTCAGTAAGGTCTGTCATCATATCCTTTATAAGTAGTGCATTGCATCAGGTTGTTCTCCTTGCAAACTATGTTGCTTTCAAGACAAACAAAATACACACAAAACAGACTAACCCAAAACTGAAGGGCAAGGAGTCAGTTTCTTGTTACAGTTCAGACAGACTTCTGCTGGTGAGCTTTCCACAGCAGCGTGGAGAACAGGGACAACAGCCTCAGGCAAGCACCTGGGGAGTTGCACAAGACAAGGATAGTGTGACAAGGGCATTGAAGCCTGGAGGAGGACCACCTTAAGGTCACATGCTACCACTGCTGCAACGATCAGAATTTTGCCCCTGCAGCAGGCAGACACTATGATCTGAAGCACTGGATAAAAAGTGATGGTGGCCCAGGCCACTCCTAACTCCATAAAGTCATCTCATCTAGGTCTCTGTGAGGCCCTCAAGCCAGTAGTTGCAATTCAGCTTTCTACCTCAAAAGGCCCAGAGAAAGGAAGCAACAAGAACCAGCTCTGAGGACAATGAATTTTAAATCCATTGAAGATTTATTGAAAGCCCAAACCTAAGGATGAAAGGTCTGGCCCAGTCCTACTGGGAGACCTCTGCACATGAGTCTCTCAAAGCAATGTACAGCTGAGTGTCAAATATCCTGAGCACCAGAGTTTCCTCCAGGACCTCTGGCCAGAGGCATCTTCTCAGCCTGTCACTGTCAGGACACTCATCAAAAGCTGCCACTAGCTTTCCCTTTTTTGTCCCACCCCTATTTGCATTTAAGAGGCTGTATAATCCTCCTCCTTCCCTTCACTGCTTCTGCAGGCCCAGAACAGAACACAACAGGGCACTCTTGTTTCTCCTGCTGTGCTTTGAGGAAGTGCTGTCTGTTAGGTTTTGTCATTAATGGCTAACTGACAAAACACACCAGTCTGGGGAGGATCAGATGGCCAAGGACAGGTGGACCATGAACCCTGGCAGCTCAAGGATGCAAGTGCCAGCTACTAGAGGAGACTGGGGTCTGGGATTCAGCTACAAAACAAACCAGATGTCCAAGACCAGCTACTGGAGGGACCCATACAGTGTGTGTATGCTCCACTAGTGGAGCTGGTCAGCCAGTAAGGAAGCTCAGGATCAAGCTTGAGTGTTCTCTGTATGTGTCTATTCACAAAGGCATTGGTCTGTCTGTGTTAATCTGTGCAGACAGTTGTGTTAGTATTGTGCATGTCTGTCTCTGCAGGAAATATAAGCTCAGTCCTGTTACTGCCTGGACCTAGGGACATGGGACCACAATCTCACACCTAGTAAGAGGAATCCACCTAGTCCCAAAATCCTCTAGATTCTCTAACACTTATCACTGTGTATCTGGTAGACAAACCTTCCTGCCAACTGAAACACTGCCTCTGCACAACTCTGTATTGTCCCAGTGATTCATGAACAAGAAATTTCAAAACTTTCATATTTAAAAAAATTTAAAAACCACATGTGATGCCAGTTTATCTGACCTGACATGAAAGCAGCTTACAGACAAAGCACTATTTTGAAATCCTTTCCACAAAGACTGCTAGGCTATTCATTAAAAGGGGTAAGCAAAACCAAGACCCCCTGCAATGCTCCACACTTCTGTGCAAAAAGAGAGAATGCTTAAATTACTGCAAGGCTGCATTTTGCAGCTCTCTGTCCTATTCCCTGCATTGCCCTCTTGTGTCTGAAACAGCAACTAATCACCTCCCATGAAACCAGTAGAGTAGGAAGTTCAATAATCTTGGTATAAAACAAGCACAGGCTGCTCACCTTGTACTCAGCTTTTGGCCTGCGCAGCTCTGGGGCATAGTTTTTAACTCCTGTGTCAGTGAGGGCTGAGAGGGAAAGGCACACATGAGCAGTGCATAAAAATCCTGATTCACATCCACTTCCAAACCCATCCCTTTCTCGGTTTTCACGGTAAAGAACCAAACTTCAGCATCAAATGGCAATACAGCATTCCTCTAAAACAGTTGTCAGTTGTACATAAGTAATTACCCCAAATCATCATGCCAATTCTTTAATTTCCTTGAGGAAAGAATGACCCACAATTCAGCTTTTAGACAGCACATGATTCAGTTTCCCTTCTTGCATCATAAGGCAGATAACACTTCCCTTTTTTTTTGGAAATGCTTAGTTTCATGTAAATCTGCACCCCTCCCAGGATGAGGCAGGGACCCAAAACTTACCATCTGAAAGGGACTGGAAACTTGAGAGTTTGTTTCGTCCTGAAATAAAAACACTGATGAGACACTGTCACTTCACCAGCAGCATCTCCTGCACAGGGAACATAAGCCTAGACTGCAGCCAGTTTACTGCAGCTATGCCATAGAACAAGCCTCCCTGTGCAGTGATTCACACCACAGCAGCACAGCTGGGGCTCACCTCTTACATTCTAAGGTGCTGAAGTTGTCTGTGGCATTGCAAACCATACCACACTCCATCCCTATCTGCTCTCTTGGTGCTGAGGCCAGGAGAGGTTACACCTGAATTCACTCATCTACCTACAGAGCAGAGACTCAAGCACATAGCACTGCAACATAGGCTGTGGCAACATGGACAGCTCCAGCCACCAGGGCTGCAATTTGGATGCCTTTCTTCATCACCTTATTGTCTTGGTTGAGAGTAAAAAACACCCCAGAGAAAGAGAGACAAAGTAAAAGCTGCTTTGTTGTCTTGCTGTGTGAGAACAGAGCTGAACTCTTGCAAGCTGTGTGTGTTTGCTCACAGCCTGCTGCACAGCTCCCCCCATAACCAGCTACGCTGCCACTGCTGCTGCCATGTGTTTGCTGAACCAACACCAACACAGCCAGCTGAGCTCCAAATAAGGCATAATCAATCTGTCTGCTATTCACAACTCAAAATCAAATGAGGGCTACATGGGTCAAGCCAGTCCCTTTGCAACCTGCTCCTTTCCACCAACCAAATGGATTGCCACACAATGCTGTGCTCTACCCTGCTGTTCTCTGGAACCTGGATTTTAAGAAGCCATAATCTCCAAAGCCCCTTCCCACTCCACAAAAACACGTGATCTACTGCACCAGACAGTCTTCAATTTCTGAGCAGAGAGCAATACACTTCCACCCTGAGGAGAGATGGGAGCTTCCCTGTTTTGCAATACTTGTCAGATGAAACAATTTACATAAGATAACACATTGCCCCTTGACAGTCTCAAGGGAAAACACATTTGTCAATATGGCATATACTGAACCTCACCTTTGAACAGGCTGCTTAGGGAGTAGGAAGAAGCTTGTTTGGGAAGAGCAGCATAGGAGGAAGAGCCTTTCTGCAGGCTGGAGTCTCGGCCATCCAGGGAGCTAGTGCTGCCAGAGGCTGTCTCTTTGATTGACCAGGAGATACCTGTGTGCAGACAGGTCATTTTATCCCAAAAGTCTGTAAAGAACGATCTCCTGGCACGGCAGAAACATTACCAGATGTGTGCTGGTCAGTTCTGCACTAGCACATCAAGGTAAGCCTGACCCTCGGCACTAAGTGGACACAGTGCATCCATCTCTCCATGCAGAATTGCAGTCTCATATAATGCTGCTTGGTAAGCAGTGGCACATTGTCCCCCAGAAATGGCTGGTTTCAGCAACATTGTACAGCTGGCTATGGCCTGTGTGAAAGGAATACACAGACAGCCCCACCTTTTATGGATTATTGCATGAGGCAAAGCACGGTCCTTGTAGTAAAAATACAAAGCAAGACAGAGTCCCTGGCCAAGCTCAAACTGCAGAAGCCTAAGAGCATGCTTTCCTCAACACTGAAGACTAAGATAGTTTTCCTCCCCACACAGACAAAACAGCTCTCAGTGTGCATCTGCTGCTGGTAACAATGCATGTGTCTCCCTCCTGCCTGTTCCATACAGTTTCCTCTTGTTTTCACACAGCTGCACAACACATGTATTTTAGGATCAGGATAACAGACAAAAAACCACAATAGGTAAAGAGACCCTGGGTGGGAAAAGAAAGCAGAGGAAAGAGCTACAGCAAAGGACAAGAAGATCAGTCTCTGAAAATCCTTTGGGTGACCCGTATAAAAATTTTCATGGTTTGGCACTGGCTAGCAAGTGTTAAAATTCTGTGGGACATGAACTCAAAAGCACAGCACACAGGATCGTGTGTGGGCCATGAACTCACTCCCATCATCACTAGAAAGAAATCTGCTAAATGTTTACAGTTCCCTTTAAAATTTCAAGTGTCAGAGTCATTGTATAAGCACACATTAAACCTTGGATATCTGCTTAAAATGCTGTGGGGCCAAAACACAGAAACTTTAAACAGTGCCATTTCAGACAGTGATGTGAAGGAAATAATCACCTAGAATCTCACAGGCCACCTGAGCAAGTATCAGATCATAAACACCAAAATACCTGCTCTGAGCTTGGCTACGTATTAGAAAAATCACAGTGAATTCCCTCCACTTGTCTGCACTCCTCTTTTTTAACACAATTCGGGCTTCTGCTCACCCTCTTTTCAGTGGATCTGCTCAGGTAAATCAAGGAGCTCACAATGTGACCTGGGAGACTTGAATCAGATTAGATATGCAGGATTGGATAGCAAATAATACTCCTGACTTAAGTGACTTGACTTAAGCAGTAATTTTAAACTCCCTCTGTCTCAAAGATATTTTGCACTACTTCTGCACTTACTTCCCACAGGTTCTCCACTCCAGCTGACCCTCTCGAGGTCGTCATCATCATCATCGACAATATCCCGAAGGCTGTTCACTGCCCGTTTGGACTCCTTCAGCTACACACAAAAGAGTGACCTCGTATAAGGGCCATCAGAATTGCAGAATGCACTTCATTTCCTACTATCATCAAACATCTCCCAAAGAATTTCGAATACAGCTTCTTCAGCTTCCATTGTTTCTTCTCGGGATGGTATTTTAGTCCTGTAGCTATGGAGCAGACTCTGGGAGCCCCAAGGACACCTGCATGGACGCTACCAGCTCAGCCGGCGGGAGATGCGGTTGGTGCGCGGCCGAGGAAGCGCGTCCTCATGAGAGCTGGGACTGGCTACCATGGAGAGAGACGGGAGCCCTGGCTACCCTCCGCAGCGGGCAGGAGGAGACAATCACCGACAGAATACCGACCCTCCGCGATGTGCAGGGCCGAGACCCGGGCTGGGACGGCTACGGGGGCCCACCCGGCGAGGGCGTCGGAGCGGCAGCTCCAGGGCCGAACCCTCCCTACCTGCGAGAGCTCGTCATCCTCATCGTCAAAGGTGAAGGCCCGGAACTTGGAGCTGTGCCAGTACTCCTCCTCGTCCGCCCGCACCCTGCTCATCTGCAAAGGCACCGCGCGGCTGCCTCAGCACAGGGAGGGATGGAGGGAGGGAGCGGCAGCCTCAGGGTTATCGCCACCCCTGCCCTAGGTCCAGGTCCAGGTCCAGGTCCAGGTCCAGGTCCAGGTCCAGGTCCAGGTCCCGGCCCCGCCGCCCCCGGCCCCTCTCTCACCTCGCCGCCCCTCCCGCGCCAGCAGCGCTCACAGCAGGGCAGGGCGGGGTGGGGCAGCCGCGCGCGGAGCACGCCGGGACATGTAGTTCTCCCGCTGGGCGCGGCGCGGCCGCTCCTCGTTCACGCACTACGAGTCCCGGCGTGCCCCGCAGGCCGCAGTGACTTGCCTTCGGACTACCAGTCTCGGCGGGCTGTGAGTGCGGCGGAGCGGTGTCTGGGCCGGTGTCTGGGCTCTGGGAACTGTGGGCTGACTCCGGGAGCTGTGGGCCGGCGGGGACGGGACGGGACGGGAGCACCAGCCCCCGCCCCAAGCTGCCTGCAGCGCGGCGGAACCAACGAGCCGCGCGGAACCACTAAGCCGGGGTGGCGCCGCGGGGGCGTGCCGGAAGGGCCCGCGCCGGGCGGAAGGCGGGAGGCGGCGCGGCGGTTCTAGCAGCTTCCACGGGCGCTCGGAGCGGAGGCGGCAATCCCGGTCCCGATGGCCAAGTGGGGGGAGGGAGACCCGCGCTGGATCGTGGAGCAGCGCGCCGACGCCACCAACGTCAACAACTGGCACTGGTGAGCGGGGCGGCTGCTCCCGGAGCCGGCCCCGGCGCGGAGGGGGCTGCGCGGCCGGAGCCGCGGGCAGAGGGGCCGCCCCCGTCCCCTCTTCGCGGAGCGGCGCTGAGGCGGGGCTGGCCGGGCTGAGCCTCCGGGGCGGCCCCGGCTCCGTGCGGGTGTGCCGGGGGAATGGCTGCAGGTGGCCTGGGGAAGAAATGTCTGTGTGTTTGTGTCGAAGCGGGGCAGGGAGACGAGACTGGGGAGCGCTGGATAGTCCCGATGTGCACTGTCAGCGTGGCCTGTCCCGCATTGTCACCCTGCTCGGTTTTCCTGCAGGACAGAGAGGGATGCCTCCAACTGGTCCACGGAGCGGCTGAAAGCTCTCCTCCTGCCTGTCAGGGTGGAGGGTGAGGAAGGGGCATGTGAGGTGACAGAAGTGAGCAAACTGGATGGAGAGGCCTCCATTAACAACCGCAAAGGGAAACTTATCTTCTTCTATGAGTGGGCTATCAAGCTGGCGTGGACTGGTGAGTGATATGCACCCCTTCTATTTCAAGGTCAGATTCATGTATAATATCAAGGATACACGTCTCATTTGGGAAATAATAATAAATGGAAGTGTCGTATTTGGATACAATACAAGTTTGCTTTGACAACAACCAGAGTAAGAAAGGTTGATCTGAACAATATAATTATAATTGCAGGCACCTCAAAGACAGGAGTGAAGTACAAAGGTTATGTGGAGATTCCTAATCTCTCAGATGAAAACGACATCGATGAAGTTGAGGTAAGCAAAGCTGGATGTATGGACTATTCTAACAGGAATACTCACAGTATTAATATTTTGTTTCCTGTTACCTTTCTTAGAGCATTTGTGTAGAATTTTTTACTGTTAGAAGCTGTTTTAGTTAACAGAATCAAAAAATGGTTTGGGTTGAGTGAGATCTTTAAAGGTCATCTATTACCAACCTGTCAGCCATGAGCACGGACATCTGTCACTAGAGCAGGTTACTCAGAGCTCCATCAACCTTGCCTTGAACACCTCCAGGGATGGGGCATCCACAGATTCTATGGGCAACCTGCTCCATACCTCACCACCCTTAGAGTAAAGAATTTCCTTCTAACTTTAAATCTACCCTCTTTCAACTTAAAGCCATTATCTTTCATTCTGTCACTGCACTCCCTGATAAAGAGTCACTCCCCCATCATTTATCAGATGAATTCCTGTCTCCTGGATGCAGAGGGCTCCGTAGCACAAGGAGGTATTCAGGCACACAGGTACAGCACTGTAGGCTGAGAGAGGTGAGGTGAAGGATTAATAAAACCGCAGGGCTGTTTATGAAAGTTTAGCCAAAGTCTATGATGTTGAATTGAGTAATAAAAGAGCTGTGAACATATGTCCTTGTTAATCAGTGCTTGTATTCATTGTTCAGATCCTTGTCAGCCTTGCTAAAGATGAGCCTGAGACTAACTTGAAGACCCTGATGAAGCAAGAGGGTGCAAAGAAAATTAGAGATGCAATGAAAACTTACATCAGCACTCTGAAAACGGGTATGTTACTGAGAGGGAGAAGTGTTATGGGAACCCATATGGACTAATTCTAAAGAAGAGATGGGAGTAAAGAGATGCTCTCTCCATCTCAACAGAAAGGTGTCAGAGCAATAGCAGTAACTTTGGGAAGAAGCATTTCTGGCTCTAGACAGCATAGCTCAGCCCAGAAAGATTGGCTCTGGTGGTGATACAGTAATGAACAGTAATTCTGAATTTATGTTTTAAAACTGAGAATGCCCTTCATATCCTGAAGCTAGGGAGAAAATGAAAGCCAGTAAAACGTGTTGGTCACCCCAGTGACATAGTCACTGCCTGTGGCACAATCTGGCCTTCAGCTGGCTTACTGCCTTGGAAAGTGATATCTTCTCCAGTTTGTAGCTTGTTTTGGGTTTTTCTTTTCCCTCTTGCCGCAGTGGTAAAGACATCTAGTGTTACTTGGGTTTTAGAGTAACTGATGTCTGAAAATTGCTCTGCAGGTTTTGTTGGTGTCTTTTAATGACCTGTCTCAGCATCTGGATCTTTTTTTTTTTTTTTTTTAAGTTAAATCTGAGTCCAGCAGTTGGAGTTAAATCAATGCACTTTGGCTGAGTTTGGCTTTCCTCTCAAATACAGGCTGGGAATGCTACAGTTGCTTTTTATATCCATTTAGCTATATTACATTACATGTCCTAGATATGCTGGGTACAAACCACCACTGATTGCTGTTTTTCCAGGATTAAATTTCTGTACTCTTGGGTTTTTTTCAGGCACTGTAGTGTTCAGGCTGGGAGATGCAGTCACCCAGTGAAAGATAAGAATGCTAATCAGTAAAATCTGTATGATCTTGTGGGCTGCAATAAATGAGAATAAGTGGGAACCAAGTATTGCAGGGTACAGGTTTATGCACATATGATACAATTCTGCTTTCTAATGGAATTTGGCTACTCTGAACAGATGAAGAGGAAGAAAAAGGAGCAAAATGTCATATAATTGGTAAAAGCAGGAGTGACTGAGCTGGAGAAAAAGCAAATGTGATTCTGAACGAGGCTGAAGGTTCTGATGGAGTTACAGAAGTGTTAGTGCTGGTGGACAGGGTGCTGGCCAGGCTTGTCTGGCTTTCCATGTGCCGTCCTGGCAACTGGTGTCGATAAAGATAAATCAAAGAGGGAGTTGGAAGTTACTGTTGTTTACTGCAGCGAGACAAGAAGTGAAAAGCTTGGTTTGATGTGTCTAGATCAGCAAGGCAAAAGTTTTTGAGGTGTGATGTGATTGCAATTTATATTAGGAGTGAGAGAGGAAAAAAGCTACGTAAGCCTAAGGCTAACCAACCTTAATGTGAGAGCAGCGTGTGGAAGATGCTCTGTCTAGGCTGGGAAGAGGAGCTAAGTTCCTCATTGTTAGTGCAGACAGGTTCTGACAGGGCCTTTGGTGGAGAGTAGCGAGGGAAAGAATTAATTACTTTTGAAAAGAGATCTGTTTACTTTTTCTGAACACTGTTTCAAGTTATGGATGCTAGCCAAGAGCAAGGGGAAAACCAGGAAGCCCTTTTTGATTGTGTATTTCAAAGTACACTCAGAAGGTTTACTTGATCTTTAATTGGTTTCATGGGCATATTCCTGTCTTTTCAGAATTCACCCAGGGCATGATTTTGCCCACAGTGAACGGTGAACATATGGAAACAGCACCTCAGGTGGCTCCTAAAGCAGAAGAGCGCAAGGTAAACAAAACTGCAAACATGCTGTGGGATCAGTGAAGAAAGGCATGGTGTATTAGATTCTGGGACTTACAGCAGCAACCTCTGTTGTGTATAGGATGTATACATTCAGGAACTGGCAATCTCTGGAACAGGTGTGACTGTTTCCATTGGCAGCACATGATGTTTCTTCCAAGCAAAGTGATAAATCTGCTTTTTACATTTAAGTATGGTTGTATCTTATTGCATCTTTACTAATAGCCTTGGTTTTTCCCCTTGCATATGTGAACCATTTGTTGATTTTTTCGGTGAAAACAAGTGTATGTGTTTGTTTTCCATGTTGTTTTGTCAGATGGCTGCCAGGAGCAGCACTGCCATACCACAGTCCAAGTCCATAGGAGTCAAGATCCCTACCTGTAAGATCAGTTTGAAGGACACCTTCTTAACATCTCCTGAGGAGCTCTACCGGGTATTTGTTACTCAGGAGGTAATGCCTGCCTTCTTCTCAGAGCTGTTCTTTGCCTATAGGAGGCTCTTTCTAATAAGGTTTTTAAGAAGTTCTGTCAGACACTCACAATCCATGAGAATGGAATAAGAAAGCTGTTCTGCAGAGGTGTTGCTGAAAGCTTGTGTGTGCATCTTTTCACACAGCTAACAAGAGGGGAGTAATGCCAACCAGAAGCAAGTTCCAGACTGCTGTCAGCATCTGTCTGTAGGTGTATCCCTTACTACATGTGGCCAGATCACTTGGGATTTACAATTGTGTGCTTCTGGTTTGTTTTTTCCTTTTAAGGTTAGGTGATATCAAAAGCATGCTTTGGGAATAGCTTCCACTTTTCTGCACTACATAGTTTAGGACAAGAGCGCAGCGTTGTATCATTATTTAAACACTGTCTTAGTCTTTTGTTCTTCCTATTTTGATAAGAAAAATGGAAAAGCAAAGAATATTTTTTCTGAGAATTAGGTTTCATTAAGAAATCAACAAAGTAAATCACTGTGTGACTCAGAACACTGCATAGCACTATGAAAGCTGGAGGTTTTTTTCCTTGGGCAGGTGAAATGCTGCTGTAGTAGCTAAAAACTTACTTTTCTGGCCAGGGGTTTTGTCTTTTGCTGAAGACCTTACACTATTGACCCACCTCCTCATCCAGAACTTTTGTAGCTGGGTGGGAGGCATTAGGCAACAAGTTTTCAGGAAGATAATGTCAAGTAACACAGATCTGCTCCCGAATTCTTTTCAGATGGTCCAAGCTTTCACCCACGCACAAGCCACCTTGGAGGCTGATAAAGGAGGCAAGTTTCAGTTGCTGGATGGCAGTGTCACAGGAGAGTTTGTTGACCTAGTA